AGACGTAGTTCAACACTATCAAGGCAGTCGTCGAACGCATGCGTCTCGTAAACTTTTTACTGCTTGGGGCACCAGAACGAGCAATGGGTTGACATTTAGGAGGACCCCACTTTCGACCGCCGCCAATGGGTCGCCGCTATCCGGGACATCCGTGAAACCGATTGAACCGACAACATCGACAACTGGATCCCCACAAATCTTACAATGAAACAGCCAAATAAGTTCTGTTCTCCGCACCCACTTTCTCCTGCAAAACGACAATTTCGATTACAAGGTAACCGGTTGCTGCGCCCTCGACATATTAATAAACTCGCCTGCTCGGACGGAGTCATCAAGTGTAGCCGCATTCTTTGTCTCCGCGATTTCGTATCTTGGTATAAACATTACTAGTCAATGTCTCCTGATCCTACTATTACTGCCTTAATTTTGTCCGCCTTTATTAAGCCTTGTGCTCGGTTGTGTTAATGCACCCACTCCTTTTCTCACCAATCGCCTCTCCCCTCCGCAGATGGGGTTAAAATCGTTCACCAACCCTTCGCCTTTGCCGCACTCCCAAACTTCCTCGCTCCTGCTGATAATAGCCAAGACAATTCCTCCGCCACGGCTAGCCTAATCGATGCACTAGAAGCTGAGGCACGGAAATTACCATTGCATCGCCGGCAAAATGATCTTTTCTCCCTGAATCAAAGCGATGATTTAAAATCTCTAACTCAGAAGGGGCACGAAACCAGAACAGCCAAATTCCCATTGTTGTGTCAGCTGCGGTAAGCCATTAATGGTCTGTTTTTAATATCTGTGGTAGCTTAACCTTAAATTGGTCCCAGTTACTTCATACAACAGTGATCATGCTTGATACAGCCATATTCGATGGTAAAGTAGCATTACTGAAAAAGACGGGGAAGAGTGGAATGACTATTGTTAGCCGTCATAAGCCAGCCATGTTCGACCTCAGGTGGTGCACCACTCGAAGCTGTTCGTAAGAAGTTCAACGCACTACACACCCCGCTATCCATCGGCAAAAATTGATTAGACTGCATATTATTTGTTTTTAGGAATTCTCACTTAACAACCTGATTAGTCTTATCACGGTATTGTTTGTTGTTTGTTAGGGAGTTCTTTGCAACGGAATTTCTCACCTGGATGAAGGACGTTACGGGCGCCGAACTAGATGAGCATGAGGTAGACTCCAGCGTGTCTCGTTACGAGCCAAATGGTAAGGCAACCATAACCCATAAGAACGTAATTAACATGATCATCAGTTGAGATCGTAGAAGCGTCGTAGTACCCCCAGCATTCCTGAGAATTAATCATGAACATTTCGATACTGTAGTTGGACTCAAGAGCGGCCTGCTTGTGTTAGCCGGACAGTCCATGTAACACTGGGCTTCCCCCTCTCCCCCTGATCCTCCACAGACTACCTACTCTGTCACGACGACGAGTTGGAGCGACGGCGAATTGCCTTCGTCATTTATCTTGTTCCCGAGGACTGGGACTCCACCACTGACGGAGGTTGCCTCGACCTCATTGACAGCGGGCCCGCACCGAACAAGTGTGATCAGGCAGACTTAAAGTCCAAGCCCGGTGACTACCATCCCTGGCGACCCGTCATTTCCCTGCCACCCGCCCGCAATTGCCTCGTCTTTTTTGAGGTTTGCCCACGGTCCTTTCATCAGGTAAAAAACGTTCAAATCGTACCGCCTTGACCATTGTCTTATCGTATTGTGGCATATTGTCACTATAGTTTCGTTAGTTTTGCCAGTAAAACTGCTATATCTGGTCCACTGCAAACGAAGAAAAACAAGCCTTTTTTGATGTGCCCTGCGCCTTCATCCTAGGCTGTTCTAGGATGTTTTAGTTTACACTTTCTGCCGCGTTAGTCCCCATCGCGGTATTGTCGGCCACGAGTGCATTTGGACGTTTTCCATACGCATTGTGTCAGATGTTAGGGCCGCAAAACTTGGCGTGAAAGTTAATTTCGCTAGGGCGAATATAACTGCCTCGGCGTTCGCGTTTAGAAGAAAATGGCAACTTATAGTAATTTATGAAGGGTTTTCACCGTTTTGAACCCAGGTAAGAAGGTAAACAGGCGAACTGGCTTCCTTCAACGACGTTCTATCTTAAAAAAATAGCTTTCGTAGGTCGCCTAAATGCACATGGGCAGTGACCATCTGAGCCCTCAACTCATTATATGATCGTTAGACAACCTGATTACTGCGACAGTGATTAAAAGAGATGGATTAATGCAGTTTCTCGGGTATTTCCAGCCATGAACGTATGTGTCAGCATCGCGGACACCGAAGCAGCCCTGAGTTAGATCTCTGCTCGCCGTTCGCGGTAAGTTGATATTTTCGTGTACGTGGGGTCCACCTGTTGCTTAATGATAAAAATGGATTAGTTTCATGGCTTCTGTATGCCTTTGAAGTTGTTGGTTGGTCCACTCACATAC